AGAGAGAGAGAGAGTTTATTAGGGGCAGGAGAGAGTCTGTAACATGCAGCCCAGCATGGATGGCAGTGGGTTTTATGAGACCTTTAACCAATAGCAATATATTGCTCACAGGGGTGTGCCTGGGTGTTTTAAATTCTGCTCTGGTTTGGGGAAATTTATTGTGATGTATTCCTCAATCAACCATTTTTTTCCTGAAGGAAATACTACCAGCACAGTAATCTGGGGCAGGAGAGAGTCTGTAACATGCAGCCCAGCATGGATGGCAGTGGGTTTTATGAGACCTTTAACCAATAGCAATATATTGCTCACAGGGGTGTGCCTGGGTGTTTTAAATTCTGCTCTGGTTTGGGGAAATTTATTGTGATGTATTCCTCAATCAACCATTTTTTTCCTGAAGGAAATACTACCAGCACAGTAATCTGTGGCCAAACACAGCCTCTGTGTCCTGAGCTGGCTCCTTAAATTGTAGAGGAGGCAGTTAACATTTAAGAAGATACGAGATTTCATAATCTGATTAATTTTGGCAGGCATTGGTTTGGGAGGGAGGGTAAGAGCAGGAAACAAGTACTGCTGAGTCTGTCGAAAGGTAAATATTAAAGATGGGGGTGGACTTTATTTCACTCCGTTTTTCACAATACTTTATGAATTTACTCACTTGGGGGCACCTTTTTTGGACCTCTTACAGTCTATATAATTGCTATAAACAAGGTCTGAGAATGTGTGACTCTCCAGATATTCCTGGACTGCAATTACCATCATCCATCACTACAGAATATGCTAGTTTAGGGATAATGGTTTGTAGTTAAACAACGTCTGGAGAGCCACACATTCCCACCTCTGCCATAAACCATTTAAATACATGCACACCTGTTCTTTTAATAAAGGTATCAGTACACTGTAGAGCACAACTTAAAGCCACAGAATAAATGCATTTTAAAACATGTTGCTTTTTAAAGTACTGTAATGATTATAAATTAATTTTCAAAAGTAACATTGCAGGCTCTAACTGCTCCATATTACATCCTGGAGAGTGGCCTAAGTGCATTCAGAAGTACCCTGTTTCCCTGAAAATAAGACCTAACCTGAAAATAAGCCCTAGTACGATTTTTCAGGATGCTCGTAATATAAGCCCTACCCCAAGAATAAGCCCTAGTTAAGTGAAACCACGCCCTCCGCCATTGTGCAGCATTATGCAGCAACCAGAATATGACATGACTGTAAAATAAAACATCCCCTGAAAATAAGTCCTAATGCATTTTTGGAGCAAAAAATTGATATAAGACCTGCCCTTGTATTAGTGATTAAGTTGAATCAGTTGGTCATGTTCTCCTTTTCTGTACTTGCTATCGGGATCTTCGGATGGAGCTTTTATCACCTATTATCTGTAAATCTCCCGGGAGATCAGAGGAGGATTATGTCCAGTTGCTACTCTCTGACAATACCCCTTATATTATGAGACAAGTGGCCAAATTCTGTGCTGCAGCAATAGTTATTTGTAATCAGATATTTGATTAGGTGATTTTAGATGGATAATATAATGCTTTTAATATAACACTGGCTGAGGTTTTACTTATATTAAGGATATATGATGTTATTAACTGGAAAGAAGGGGTTGTTTTATCATGTCTTAATGGAATTTTATTATCGTGACTGACTTTACGAAACTATAATTATATATATCTATTTTATATTGATTTGGTTTTACTGGTCTTTGACCGTAATGAAGTATTCATTCATTTAATATAAGACCCTGTCTTATTTTCGGGAAACACCGTAGACAACAATGTCCAAGGAGAAAAGATTTCAAATATACTTTTCTCTCAACTTTAGAAAGCGTAGGACAGAATTGAAAGAAATCTCTCCCCCGCCCCCTTGTAATTTCTCCAATCTCAACAGGTAGAGAGATTTGTTAAGATTTGCTCTTAAAATATTTGTTTCCCGTGAATATAGCATTTTTGCTCTAATAGATTTTTTAATTTCGTAATGCATTCACCAACCTTTGTGTATACAACGACTTTGACTGAAGTTACACTTGTCTCTCTGGCTTTCTTTTTTTAAATAGTAAAGCTCCCAGGACTTCGAACATACGTGGATCCACATACATACGAAGATCCCAATCAAGCTGTCCATGAATTTGCCAAGGAGCTAGATTCATCTAGTATAGCTATTGACAAAGTTGTTGGAGCAGGTAAGGACCCTTTCTCATGAGAACATAGCCTATCCATTGTACTTTTCATATGTGGCCATTTCATTTCTTTACTGATGAAGAGCAAACATTTGTTTTAATAGCTTGATATCTCCATGCTAAACTTTTGGTAATAATCATAACCAAGAACCCATGGAAAAGGACTAGTTTTACTACTGTGCTAGTTCTACTACTATCTGGGTTGAAATGATATGAGAAACGTATTGAGAAAGCATTGTGTTTTGTTTTCTTTGTTTTTGTGTTTTGTTTTTATATAAAAAACAAATATACTTTTCTCGCAACAGATTCCATGAGAAAAAAAAAACTTCCAAAATCTAATGGTTAGCAATACTGCTTTTATGCTCAACCAAAGTGTCAAAAAATAATACAGTGGGGTCTTGACTTGAGAACTTAATCCGTATTGGAAGGCGGTTCTCAAGTCAAAAAGTTCTCAAGTCAAATCTGCATTTCCCATAGGAATGCATTGAAAACCATTTAATCCGTATCTGCTCTTTTCCGTCCATAGAAACTAATGGGAAGCTGCTATTCTGCCTTCGACCACTAGAGGGGGATATTTTGTTTCTTTTTTTTTTCTTAGGTCAAGAAAGGTTCAGGGAAGGCAGGGAAAATACAGTCCAGGCAGTCCAGTACCAGGCCTGAACTTTTAGTAATAATCATAACCAAGAACCCATGGAAAAGGACTAGTTTTACTACTGTGCTAGTTCTACTACTATCTGGGTTGAAATGATATGAGAAACGTATTGAGAAAGCATTGTGTTTTGTTTTCTTTGTTTTTGTGTTTTGTTTTTATATAAAAAACAAATATACTTTTCTCGCAACAGATTCCATGAGAAAAAAAAAACTTCCAAAATCTAATGGTTAGCAATACTGTACTTCTTTTATGCTCAACCAAAGTGTCACAAAATAATATTCAAGCTTTTTGAGTTCTCTAGAGCTTTTTATCAAATTAGGTGCTGGAAAGGGAAGGAGGTGAGGTAAAGATCAAGGAAGCTCAAAAATTAGGTCAGATGTTGATGTCTGGATTTTAGTCCTGATCCACCTAGTCATTTACTGACTGCAAACCTTTTGGGGATGGGCTTAGATAAAATGCAAAATCATTGTTTAGAGCTGCCACATCCAAATTCAGAAGAACCAGGAGGAGACCCAACCTCCTATAGAAGACCAAGAACTTTTTGAATTCTCTAGAGCTTTTTACCAAACTAGGTGCAGGAAAGGGAAGGAGGTGAGGTGAAGATCAAGGAAGCTCAAAAATTAGGTCAGATGTTGATGTCTGGATTTTAGTCCCGATCCACCTAGTCATTTACTGACCACAAACCTTTGGGGATGGGCTTAGATAAAATGCAAAATCATTGTTTAGAGCTGCCACATCCAAATTCAGAAGAACCAGGAGGAGACCCAACCTCCTATAGAAGACCAAGAAGTGTTCCCTGTAGGAGAAGAACTGTAAGTGTCCCCGTACACCAGGACCTGGCAAAGGATGGTCACCTAGAGTTCTTGAATTTCAGCTCCCAACATTCCTCACCATTGGCAATGCTGACTTGAGCTGATTAGTTTTGCAGCCCTATTACAGCTTTTGAAGGGCCACCCCTTGCTCATCACTCTTTTACATCTTAAAACCCCCAGATAATGACTGACCAACATTTCTGACAATGTAGAGGTTAGCACCCATCCATATCTCTTTTGTCTCTTCAGAAAACCTACAGGATCTTATACATTCCTCACCATTGGCAATGCTGACTTGAGCTGATTAGTTTTGCAGCCCTATTACAGCTTTTGAAGGGCCACCCCTTGCTCATCACTCTTTTACATCTTAAAACCCCCAGATAATGACTGACCAACATTTCTGACAATGTAGAGGTTAGCACCCATCCATATCTCTTTTGTCTCTTCAGAAAACCTACAGGATCTTATTTCTTTTTTTGGTTAGCACCCATCCAGATCTCTTTCGTCTCTTCAGAAAACCTACAGGATCTTATTTCTTTTTCTGCATTTCATTTGTAACCAATAAACCTGTTTACATCCATCCAGTCCCCGATATTTCTGCATGTATTTACGTTCTTTTCTGCTCAGTTTCCCTGATAATTTGCCAAATTATATATTTAGATACATATTTTGGTACCTATCTGAATTTATATTTTTCCCTCCAAGTGTGCACAAACACATTTATGTTTATGATTTGAAATGGCTAAAAACTGCATTGCTGTATTCTGCAAAATGAAAAATTCAAGAGTTGTGGATAAGGCCATTGTGTATAGAAATCTACAAAGGTCGAGTTCCCAGGAGTTCAAGTGATTCATACACACACAAAATTCAAGGATTTGAAATTTAAAAAAGGAAAAGTTTCAAGCTTTACTGATATTTTAAACTTTCTTATATACTATTAAGCAAGAATCCGACTGTGCTGATGGTTGCTCAGTAGATTAGAAAAAATCAGTCAGCAGCATCTGAGTTACTTATGTAAGAGCAAATGGCTTCTTGACATACTATTAATCACTAACATTCCTGGCAAACCAGTCAGTTTCAAAAGAATGAGTGTCTGATATGCAGGATTATTCTGCAGCAGGAGAACTTGGTGGACTGTGCTTCAAACTTCTGTTGTAGAGAAGTCATAACCTGATACGTTACTGAAGAAGAATGGTGAAATGGATAAATTACAGAACAGTAAGAAACATATCGCAAACAGTACAGGCATTTGCATTTTAAAGGTTACGAATGCATTTTGGCAGAATACTGCTTGAGTAAGTAGAATTCTACTTCACTCATTCATCATTTGTATTCACACATCGCTCTTCCTCCAAGCAGAATGTCTTACCAGGCACTTTCACATGCAGACAGCTGATAGGATCAAGCTTGCTTAGCTTTAGGAATAGAACCATATCATGCCCTGACAGCCTTTGTGTGTTTTCGCAGGCATGAGCACTTGTATACTCTCTCTCTCTCTCTCTTCTTTTTTTACAGAGTTAATAAAAAAAGAACTATCATGTGACTATCTGTCTGTGTCATAGTTCCAAGACTGTGCAATTTATACAGCTGAAACTTGGTATGGATAGGACTCAATGTAATTTTGCTTCATTGATCAATTAATTAATTAATAATTGAACTTATTTAACTAACTAATCAAATAAGTCAGTTGCCTGTCTTCAGACACTGGTTGATTGATTCACCTAACAATATTTATTTATAATCTATAGCACTCATACAGTGAAAGACCACTTTCCTGGTGGATTTACAACAACATTAAAAGCAATAAATATAAAATTAAAATTGTAAACTACTGCTACACAGGTAGCAGTTCTTTGGCAGAGATGATCCATCAGATATTGAAGTCCCAAACTCTTTAAGGCTTTGTATGTTGACACCAGCACTTTAAATTTGTGTCACAAGACCAATATAGCTGGGCCAGGACCAGGGAAGTATGATCAAATTTGGAAACCCCAAAAATGACTGGGACCGCTGTGTTCTGAATCTGCTGAAGCTTCTGTGTCATCTTCAAAGGTAGCTCCACATAGAGAGCATTGCAGTCATCAATTTTTGATTGCTTGTTTAATCAATGAAGAAAGCATTAAGACCTGTGGGAGTGGATAGTTATGTTGCTTTAAAATAAGGAATAAGTTTGTGCATTGCACATAATGACAGAAGTTGAAGTGAGCATGTTATAGCCACTTTGATTCTGTGAGCATGTGAACACCCATCCTTTGTTACTTCTGTTTAATCTGTTTAATACCACACACTGCAATGTTAAATCCGTCGAAATGATTGTACATCGAAGCACCATTTCCCATAGGAATGCATTGAAATGCAATTAATTTGTTCCAGCCAAAGAAAATAATTACCATATATATATAAATCACTGCAATACTCATTGGAAACGTGATTAATCCCTTCTGGCCAAAAAAAAAAAAAAGGGGGGGGAGAAAAGCAATCAAGCATGCAAGATCCATCAGAAGGACAGAGAAAGCAAACAGAGCATATTGGAAATTCACAGAGAACGAAGAGAGCAAGTTGGAAATGCAAAGAAAACAAAGGAAAAAGCAAGACCATCGTAAATGGGGAAAAAAACCCAAAAAAGCAACCAACCCCCCCAAGACCCATCGGAAATTTGGGGGGAGCCAAAAAAGAAACCCCCAAGACCCATTGGAAATGGGAAAAAAACCCAAAAGCAAACAACCCCCCAAGACCCGTTGGAAATGGGGGAAAACCCTAAAAGCAGCCAAACCCCCCAAAACCCATCAGAAATGGGGGAACCAAAATACAAACAAACCCCCAAGACTCATTGAAAATGGGGGGAACCAAACAACAAACAAACCCCCCAAGACCCATCAAAAATGGAAAAAAACACTCCAAAGAGCAACCAAACCCCGCAAGACCCATTGGAAATGGGAAAAAAAACCAAAACATAAACAAACCCCCCAAAATCCATCACAGCACCACAAACAAACCCCCCAAAATCCATCACAGCACAGAAACATAACCCCCCGAGTCCAAAACCACACTGCAAAAACACCCAGAACAGTTTTTAAAAAACAGAAAGCTCTCTAACTGCTAGGCAAAAGAGCTACAAAGAAGCAGCCTTGTCGCCACCTACAGTTAGCAATTTGAATTTCCCGCCTTTTTCCATGCCTTTTTCTGTTCGTAAGTGGAAGCTCTGGTCGCAAGTAGAAGCAAAATTTTGTGGTCAGAGCTGATTGTAACTTGAAATGTTCATAAGTAGGGACATTGGTAAGTCGAGGCACCACTGTATTCTGTAAATAGAATACAGAGACATCTTTGTTTTTCAGTAAAATATAATTTGTTTTAACATCTGAAGTGGTTATAGCTGTTATAGCAAGGAGAGTGAAATTACTTTTTAAATTCATGGTGCTTTTGGTTTTTTAATTTTTTATATACAGTGGTGCCTCGCATAACGAGCGCACAGTTTAATGATGAATCCGCATAGCGATGCGGATTTTGCGATCGCTAATGCGATCGCATACCGATGTTTC